ACACTATATAGTATTAAAGGGACTGATTCAACAGAAGATATAACAATTATAACTATCTATGCACTCAGCAGCAGGGCACCAATACAAAAGAAAGGCTGCTAGATGTAAAGAGAAAGATAGATTGCAATACACTAATTGTTGGGAACTTCAACACCCCATTGTCAGCACAGGACAGGTCATCTAAACAAAAAATAGACACAGAAATATATGATACCATAAACCAAATGAATGTGACAGACACATTTATAGAACATTTCACCCAACAACTACAAAACACATATTTCTCAGTCTCACATGGAACATTTTCGAAGACTACATAATAGGACAACAAGTCATTACAAATGCAAAAGTATAGATACTCTATCTAGCATCTTTGCAACCACAATGGAATTAAACTTGAAATCAACAACTAAAAGAATCTTGGAAAATACACAAAACTATGGAAACTAAACAATTTACTCCTGAATGACTTCAAAGCCATTGAAGAAACTAAGATTAAAACTTAAAGACTCTTTGGAATCAATGATAAAGAACACATGATATTCCATAATCTTTGGGACACAGTGAAAGCAGTGCTAAGAGAGAAGTTCATGGCAGTTGATGCTCACAAGAAAAAAAAAGAGTGATGCAAATTAATAATGTAACAACACATCTTAGGGAACTATCAAAACAACCAAAAAACCCCAAAATGCTAGGAGAAAATAAAAAATAAATATTAGAATAGAAACCAATGAAATTGATAATTAAAGAATACAAAAACTCAGTAAGACAAAAAAGCTGGTTTTCTGAAAGGAAAAACAAAATTGACAAACCACTGGATAGCCTAAGAAAGGAAAACAGAAAGGAAAGAGAGAAATAAAATCAATAATTAAACAGGCAATAAGTACAGCAAATACCACAAAAATTCAACAGATAATGGGAGAATACAAGTGGCTATATGCCAACAGACTAGAAAATCTTGATGAGATGGACAAATTTCTGGAAACATATAACTTATCAGATTGAACCAGGAAGAAATAGATAGCCTGAATAGATAAATAACAAAAAGTGAAATTAAATCAGTGATAGTCTCCCAGCAAAGAAAAGCCCAGATCCGGCTTCACTTCTGAGTTCTACAAAACTTTTTTTTTTTTTTAATAGAAATTTATGCTATAGGGTGCATGCGCTCACCAGGGAGAAAGAGTGAGACAGAGGGACAGAAAGTAAGAAATCACCCTCAGAGTGCATAGCCATGCTGCAATCCCTTCTCCTCCAGCATCCTCTCAGGAGTTTGAGCATACATGCACACGTCCCGGTGTGAATTTTAAGCCACTGGGTCTGGGACTCAAACCTGTCAACTACATGAGAATCCAGTGACATAACCATTATGGCATTTGTTGGTCCCAAGTGCCACAAAACTTTTAAGAGTTAACCCAATGCTCCTTGAACTATTTCTAATGATCTAAAAGAAGGCACTCTCCCAAATTCATTCTATGAGGCCTCTATCATCTTGATACCAAAAGCAGACAATGGCATAAAGAAAGAAAGAAAGAAAGAAAGAAAGAAAGAAAGAAAGAAAGAAAGAAAGAAAGAAAGAAAGAAAGAAAGAAAACTACAGATCAATATCCTTGATGAAAAAATCCCAAACAAAAAACTAACAAATTGAATACAAAAGCATATTAAACAGATTATACACCATGGCCAAGTAGAGT